TTTTTTTTACAATAAAATACAATCTGTTGTTATACCGCCTATGAAATGGATAGAATTGTGAAACTGATGAAAGGAACGAAGTTGTTGAAAATGTTATTCTGGAAACTGTAAATGCAAATTAAAAATGATTCTAAAGTAAACAGTGAGCAATATTGTTTTTTTGATCATGGCAGAGTATTTTTGACAAAGTAGCGACTGAAAAAGTAAGAAAAAAACTACATATGTCAGGGGCAGATTAAAGCAAATAGAAGGGTGTAAAAAATAATTGTGTAACGTGCGCTTGCACGGAAGTTCTCCAAAAAACGTGCCAAATAGAAGCTGTTCAAGGGCTATCCAAAGCCAATAATTGAAAAACCATGATATAACTAAGGCATATAATAACAGATGGATGTTTCTGTGCGAGTGAAACTGGATTTGTTTTGACGTCCTCTACACGCCCCTGCTCGGTGGCCATAAGGTTGTGAATCACCCTGTATATAAAAATGTATTTGATATTGAATAACACGTCATCAACTGAACCGGTGTCGGTTAATGATTTTTTATCATTATTGCGCAAAAATATGCGTAAACACATTAGTTTGTTTAATCATGTCTCATCTATCCAAATCATTTGCTTAGTTCAGTTAACATTTCTAATCTGCACTCACGTCCGCAAACTGATTGAAATAGGCTTTCGTTCGCTAAGTCGTAAAAGACCGTCTCGCACAATTGGCAGAAGGTACGGGAAGATACTTTGCTTTAATTCGTAATACCTTGATGCCGGCAAATTTCCGACAATTATCAAAGGCCCACACGAATTCCGAACATTCGGCAATGCTGCGATAAGTTGCTCTTCCACACGCTAACAGAAAGTTACCGTATTCATGGAACTTTGTTGCACGTAGTGCACGGAACGGGTATCAAGTGTAATTCGGAAGGTAGTGCACCCAACCGGTTTATTGTTTGCACCTTGTACAAAATTGTGCAACTACCAACAAATGTTGAGGAAACTATATATGTAACCAACGCTCAAAAGTCTCCAAATTCCGAATAACAAACCTGTATTGAGAGGCAACCATGTGGTTTATACAGCCATTACAGCTCAAAGCGTATTGTTAAATTAAGATAATTAACTTACCTACAGGGAACTGTAAATAATCCATCACTGAGATATAATCAGTGAAAGTTTTCGAATTTAGGACGATACTTCTTGGTGCATTAAAAACTCCACTTCCGCCAAAAACTACAACCGCGTATCTGAAAAAATTGCTTTATTATTAAGTTCGCAGGAGTTTCTGTATAAATTACCTGTTGTTCGTTATGTTTAACTGAAGAAGTTCTTGGTTTATTGACTCAATTACTGTATTAAAGTTTTTACGATTCTTCAGATCTTTATTGCAGTTCTTGGCTTCGACTATAAAAACTACGTCGGCGGTTCTAGGTACTGAATTTCCATGTAATCTAATAAAATCTCCTTCTCGAATTTCTGTTCCATTTAGCAAATCGCACCTGAAAATTGCCATTATTTTCACTTCCGTCCGCAACATTGTATAATATCAATGTTTCGTACTTTATGCATGAGTCTGGAATGTTCAGCGGAGTATTTTCTCTATGGCACATTTCAATATATGCAACTGCACTGCGACAAGCTTCAAGTGTCGTGCTACTATTCATGCACATTTGCAAAAAATTGTCTTTGGGTACTCTCGAAAAACAGTTACTCAGATCTGAAATTTTGCTGTGAAAAAATTCGTGACAAAGCTCCTCAATTTCTGTTGATGGCGATCTGTGAGAATGTAAATCTGCAACAATATTAACTTTTTCAAAAACGCCACTTCGAAATTCTACAAAGAGGTACCTGGGAAAGCTTTGGTTTGACAACCTTCGCTTACAGCCCAGCTATCACCAAAATCTGCGAGGTTTCGTGAATAACTTGCGTTAATTCTTGAACCATTTGGAGTCATCAAATCATCAAATGGTTCATTATTATATGAACCCCACAGGCCTGTAGTTCTGCCATAATGCCATCCTAAAAGTACGATTTGTAAATATGGAAAGTTCCCCAAAAAATACATGCTCCCGACCTCGTAATCGATAATGGGGCAACAACAGCGTAACCTAAATCGAATTTGGGGCACTATTGTTATTGCTGAACACATTGGGCCAAATCAATCGATTTTGCTGCATAATTCAACTAAATATAGTTTTTACGAATTACAATAAAAAATGTAGTTTTACAAAATTTCCACGCCGAAACAAAATAATGAATAAAGCCTCGTGTTATCACCTAAATTATGCCGTTCCTCTATGAGCCCCTTATTACGAATCGTCCCGTATATGTAATTTAAGTAATGAAACGGAAACTAGATGGGGCATATGTGTAACTTTTTGCAAATCCACTAAATCGCTGCTTTCTGTGAGACGTGACATTAAATTATCGTCATTAAAAAGTTGCCCAGTGCGTTTTTACATCGTGATGCTTTTGAGAGGCAAATTACCCTTTCATCGTTTTTAGTTTGTATTTAAGTGGTGTGTCGTTCTATGGATAAAAGGGTGCAACCGTCCACTTAATAGCCAATTAATTTTTCATTTCATACATTTAGGTAAACCACAAAAAACTCACAACCATATACGTAGAGCGCTGCCTTTAAATTGTTGCCCTTGTAATTAGTTTCGTGGTTGAACAGAAAATAAATACGCATAAAGCTTCCAGAATAAATTAATTCTTACACTTTTTTTTAACTTACCTGAAACTTCAAAAATGCAAATCTGGAATTTCGTATTACATTCCAATCTGAATCCTGACTCGCTTTCTAAGGTAATTATATCATTTTCTCTATACAAGAAGTGACTTCCAATGTTCAGAGGTAATAATAATGCTTTAGATCCATCTACTGTTATGGTCTGGCAAATATATGTATATTAAATATAATTAAAAACAATTCAATTTGTTAGCAACTTACATCTGTGATTAAATCTATATAAACTGCAGTTTTGTTTATCAGAAGTACAAGTTGGTTGGAATCGCCATTCCCATCATAAGATACCAACAAAGTGAAATTACGGTCAACAAAATCTGTCGACAATAAATATGTGCAACTTCCCTTAAAATCGTAGTATTTCTTGTCGAAAGTTACATAGTGTTTTCCACCTATCAACATCGAATGTCCTACAAATACAAACAAATCTGTTTCACTCTTTACAATTTAAATTGCTTTACCCAGCCAACAAAAAAAACAGTCTCCCACGAATTAAAAAAAAAGTAAAATTAATTTAAAAAATTGCTCTTCCACTGAAAATTTTGTATAACGGAGCCGATACCATCCTCACTAATCCTTGAATTGCGACCAATTCCTAATTAAAGAGTCAGATCAATTTGCAAACATGTTAAATGCTGCTGGTAGAATGACGCAATAATTAATCTACAGATTTGCAGTTTTATAAAAAATTTGTGAAAGTTGCACAATTTTTGTATAAATCGCTTCGAAGCAACAATTTGATGTTGAAGAACGCGCTAAGCGGAAAAGGGCAACACTGTCTTTTTTAACAGGGCGATCTTAAACAACTTGAAATTTTATAAATTGAATCCTATTTTGTGAAAGTATAATAGCGATTTGCGAATCTAGTCGATACAATTATATAAATTAAACTGTTTCAAAAATTTCCGACCTTATCAAATACAAATATTTCAAGAACTACACATTAAGCAGAAAACCTCAATTTGAATATTCGGCAAATCATTTCTAATGCTAGTATAAGTAATGATAAATTTAATTCACATCATAACTTGGCATTAGGCGGACAATTTTCTTTTTCCATGTGACTGTTTCTTTTTTCATTAACCCGCAACCGACTGACATGCAAAGACGACAAGCCAATTTTTTTACCTTTAAATGGAGGCAGAAGTTCTGTCGGGTCTGTGTAGGGCATATACTCGTAATAAAAGTTCCAAAACGACGTCTCTGATGTCGCTAAGTAGTTGTATACATTATAAAATACCTTAATTTCGGGAATTTCCTGAAAACAAAACAAAACTCTAAGAACCACGGCCTGAAGCAACGGCGGTTAATTTTATTCGCAACGAAAATAAAACATTGAAACCTTTGCCTCGAAAGTTAATTTGAATTTATTCGTGAACAAATATTTTTGAATTATACAGGCTGACTCACAACTATGGAATCAAACTTCAAGGTATTATTTAGTGCAACAATACAAAACTTTAAGTAGAAAAACTGATAACCGGAAAAGTCTCCCTAATACGCTATTATTAAAGCCGAGTTAAACATTTGATTGGCAAACCGCCGGTTAAGGCCTCAGCCTCATGTTGACGACATTTCGGGTTATAAACCAAAGAAAAGTTAAATAAATATACAAGTTGATACATTGCTAATGATGTGGTGAGAGGAAAAATAAGTGCAGGGTTCAGGATTGCTATTTTTCAGGCTCGACCCACCTGACGAGAGGTAATACCTACTTTCGAAAATCGGTCTTGGGTGTGCCTGAGATTAGCATATTTCAAAATATCCACTTGCTTACATAAAAAATTAATTGCTCATAAAATTGGAAGATTTTTATTATTAATAATACTTTTTAGAATTGGGTTGTGTGTAATACTACTAGAGGGTGGGTCGATATATTTAAACAGCTTCTGACGACTTTAGATATAGCAAAAAAACAGATAAAATCAGTTCGGCAACTTATAAATCCGTCCAAACTGTTATTGCAAAATATAAAATAGCCATGGCAAAATGAAATAAATATACAAGTTGATAAATTTCTAACGGAGCACCCTATATATTTTTTCATAAATTGATAGACATTTGTATTCTCATCTCATAAATTTCCCAGATGTATATATTTGAGTGAGCTATTTTCGAATCATTGACATTTAAAAAGCACGATTTCTTGTGCTTCTAACTCAGTTGAAAGTCAGGTTGCATGAAACAATATATCTGAAACGGCACTTTCATTTATAATACATTTATAATACCCAAACTGACCATCAACTGTTGGCTAATTAGGCTTGATCCCCTAGTTCTTAATCATCTTATATTGGGTTTTTAAAATGCACAATTCAGAGCCCGCGTCAAAGTTATATAAAATACATTATTGCTTTAGTCCAGTTGAACTTCAAGTTCAACCTTGGAAATGGTTACAACTTGACTAAAGTGTACCACATTTTGAGATGAAAATGTATTACATTTTAACCAATAATTGTAAAAATCCAAATCAGGGCAGACTAGCGTATCATTCAATGATTCTGCCATTAAGCATGTAATCCAAAAACCCTTTCGATTGAATTATCCCGGGTAAATTTTAAAGAGAATATTTAAGCGGAAAATTCTTCTATTGCATTTGTGGTCACTTTATCGGTTTAACCTTCCCTTTAAGAAATACAATACTTTTATTCGGGTTACTCCCTCAGGAGTTTCTCGCTATGTTCCTTTCAAATGAAAGAACTATGCGAATATATATATTTTTTGGTAATTGTATTCGATTGGCTGAAAATGGCTATGGGCTGAAAATGGCTTAGGATGAAAACAAGAAACATGAAATAGAGTTAAGCAGTACCGAAACCAAGGGCGGATCCAGCTTTACAATCAGGGGGCTCATGTACAATAATAAATGTAACTAAAAAAGTATTGTATTGTTTATGTCGTAGTAATTCTAATTAAAAAATTCGACAAAATCTGATCCGAGAATTGGTGCAAAAATAAAGCGACTGACACCACCGCTCTTAATGAGGCGTGCAGATTGAATGTGGATCTTCGCTTTAGACCACTTTTGCACGACACATCCAGCTGTTTCATAAAAATTGAGCAAAATACTAAATCGAGAGCTCGTGTGAACAGCAAGTTTCGTTCTACACAAGATATGCAGCTGAAAATACTCAAAGTTTAATAACAATCGAACAAAATTCCGAGAGCATTTAACTCAGCATGAAATAGTCCATTCGGCTCCATGATTGGAGATGTGCATATTTGGCTGGGAAACATGTTTGGTGCTTTCAAAAGTTTGAATCAAAAACTTTCGATTGAAAATATTTGCGTGCGAATAGGCATTTCTGTAGTTAGCTGCTTTCGAAAGGCCTAAAAGCCTCAATATCGCATTAGCGTTCATGGGTAGAAAATCGACCATGGGGAGCCAGCTTGAAGATAGCTGGTAAACATTATTTCTAATCTATAAATCCTTTATCTTGAACTGAGTTTAGTTTTTCCAGAAGCAACTGAAGTTGACGGAATTTTTAATTTTCCTTGATTTCGTCTGTTCTATTCAAATAAATAAACTTTTACTATGTTGCTGTAATACTAAATAATGGTTTTCTTTTATTCCAGGTGGCACCATGCAGCTTTCGGTAAGTTTGGCATTACTTTGCGGCTGGTTGCCATGTAGATCTAGAACTTTTAGTCCCATATTATTGACTTGTATTTCATCATATTGCTGCATACCAAATTTAGCCGACAGGGAACGACGAGGACGTCCTGGATTCTAGATGGATCTCGCACTTGTGATATAAAAAAACTATTAACTTTATGTTGGAAACTACCAATTTTAGTGTCTTGGCAGGTGACCTGCGTCATTTGCAGATTTTTCTTCTTTAAATTACACTCTAAATTATGAATTGTGCTTGAATTCCCTGTTAGATTTTTCAAATTAAAATTCGTTTTACTAAATTTTCCAGACTTGACTAGCCAGGTTTCCTAAAGTGGACTGTTATTTATTATCTAAACATTTAAATGTGAAATTAAACTCCTTCTGTGGTGAGACACACTTTATATTGTCCCATAAGGTAATTATTTACATTGTAAGTAATCACTCGATGGTGTTTTTTTGAAAATTATCATATTTCAGCCGTTCTGGATTTCGGTAATGAAGAGTTAGAATAATAATAGTTGGCAACAGGCGTTTTTTTGCCTTCTACTACCATTTTTCGATGGTCGAAAGTCCACCATTCTCCCATAAGGCAGCATATGCAGAGACAAGATAGCAGAGCTTATCTCTGACTTGAGTCCAGTGCGTTTTGAACTGCTTACAATACATGTGACCACATCCAAAATTTTAATTATTTTCAGTAAGCTTTTAATAGATTAA